GTTCAAACCCACCAGCCACTCCCGGGAAGGAAGGTTGGGCAATCTACTTCCGTAGTGATACTGCCTCGGAAACCCAGGGAGGACTCGACTTGACAGCAGTGACGGTTTTTGGAGATATAGAGAGAACTAGATGCAGGGGAGAAGGGCCAGAGAATACACAGGAAGAGAGAGCGAGAGAAAGGCAGCCGCAACGAGAGCTACAGAGAGACGGAGCTGGACTGACTCACAGAAACCAGAGAAAGACACATGGACAGAAGGGACAGAGAGATGGGGAGGGGGAGGAAGAGGGAGGGAGAGGGACAGGCGTAAGCAGTGACACAGAGGAAAATAAGCTAACGGAAGAGGGGAGAGAAGGGCCCCTGGGGGTGCCATTCTTTTGCACTGGGCTGCTGACGGGAAGTTGGTGATTTGAACTCAGCCAGAGGCACTGCAGAAGAAAGGCCTGACAATCTACTTCTGTAAACGTGAGCGCCAGGAAAACCCTCCTGTAACCTGACCGCCAGGAAAAGCCTTCTGTAAACGTGAGCGCCAGAGTTGGAACCAACTTGACAGCAGCAGAGAGAAATGAAGTCTCTGAGAGGCAATGATGGCTAGACCCAGAGAGACAGGCTAGGGACAGTGGCTCTATATTGCCCCCACTCAGTGACATTTAAGGAGTCCTGGTGGCTCAGTGGTTAAGTGCTTGGCTGTTAACTGAAACGTGAGTAGTTCAAACACAGCAGCCGCTCTTTGGAGAAGGACGAGGCGGTCTGTTTCCGTGAAAGATCACAGCCTTGGACTCTCTGTGGGCGGCTCTGCCCTGTCCTGTTGCTATGAGTTGGAGGAGATTCAGTGACAGTGGTTTAGGGGGTGTCTGGCGATGTTGGCGACGTCTTTGGCTGTCATCACTTGGTGTCTGTGGCGGGCTGTGCTGCTGCGTGGAGACCAGGATGCTGGTAAGCACAGGCCATCCCGTCTCTCTAATGATCCGGCCCCAAATGTCAGCGGTATGAAGGCTGAGCCAGTGTGGGAGACACAAGGTGGCCTGAGAAAGGGACCTGGTCTGAGACCCACTGAGGGAGAGACTTGCACAGCGAGACACAGACAGCGGGCAGGAACTGAGCGAGGCCGAGACCTGGAGCAGAAGGGGGCACACAAGGAGAGAAAGGCAGCGGCTGAAAGGGGTGGGGACACAGACACGAAGAAACTGGGCAGACACAGAGCAGGGCATAGATGGAGACGTGAAGAAAGTGGATGAGATAAAAGGAGGCAGAGAGAGAGAAAAGGAACAAGGAG